TCACCTTCAACATGAAAAATTGGCAGTGTGGCAGGAAAAGTTGGGGGGTGTCTTCTTATAAAAAGAAGATTATTACTTTGGCCGTCACGATAGTACGTTGATGAACATTTTTACTTTGATAAATCACGCGAAAACTAGCCTGAACTAGCCTAGGCTTTTAATGCCCGTCGCTTTCATCAGGCGACGGGCATTAAAATTTCAGTAGATGAAGTCTGGAAGCTGCACAATCTTGATAAGTGATAAATCTACTTCAGTTGATGCAGTTCAACCTAAGATGCTTAAAGCTTCAAGACAAGGATTACTGTGGCAACAACGTGCTTTCTAAGTTGCAAAGATCCCAGTGGTTGGAGAACTGAACTTATAGAACGCCCTTTTTGTGAAGGGAGATCAAAAGGAGTTGTACAATTATCTTACATTTTTTACTGAGCCTCCGGGAAAAAATTTACGCAAAAATGTTGGAAAGGCGTTGCCGTGGAATGGCCAACTCCCGCATCCAAGAAGGGCAGTGTGGCTTTAGCTCATTTGAAATATCTATGATCAGATCTTCACTCTAAGTCAGATTGTTAAATACGCGAGAGAGCACGCATCCTGTTAGCATTTGGTTTGTAGACCTGGACAAAGCCAACGACTAGATTTGCGGCAACAGCTATAGGCGTACCTGCAAACAGATGGACTTGATGGCTGGTCACTGCGAGCCACTGTGTTTATATACCTTGTCCCTCTTTACTGATAGCAGGTAATGCGCTGGAGTAAATTACTTTACGCTTTTTTCATTGTTGGCAGTGATGTCCGCAAAGACTGTGTACTGTCTTTTATCCTATTTGTGTTTTACATGAGCAGAATAGTTAGGCGCAGCCGGGGCGACCAGTCTCCAGCTTATGAGATGCGGAGAGAAGAAGGCTGCTGCTTGTAGTTTGTCTTTTTTTCTTGGAATATTCAGGAACCGATCTTTAGCAACTGTGAGCGTGTCTAAACAAAAGGCCCATGCTTTCCTTTACAGCTGTCCATTGCGTTATGCAGATAACCGGATGAATACTGCAAGTGGAAGTACATACGTTAACCAATAACATTGTAACTCATAAAAGCTATCCGCCGATTTTCATTTTTAAAACCTGAATCGCGTAGTAATTAGCTGGTGCATTCAAGATGTAATTATTGTCTTTATCGTTTATGACTATTACTTTCCAACTGGGTGTAGTTTTGGAAAGTTGCCTAGCGAACATGTGCAAGAATTAATGTCTTTGCACTTATTTTTTAAAGCATTATATGCCTTCATTGCATTGTTGAATTAAGGAATATTATTTCAGAAAAAATGCACTGACATATCAAAATAATAACAAGCAAGAATAGCAGAGATGAGAAAGTTCGACATTGTGAATTGATCATACTTAGAAAATAAAGGAAGTGATGCAATAATAAAATTTGATACTGTTTATTTCAGTGGAATGGCGTGTGAGAGAAAAAATGTGTTGGAAAAAATTAAGAAAGTAAAGGCAAGAAACGTACTGATAAACCTCGAGCTGAAATGCGTTATATATGGACGAACGTTAACGGGAAGGAACGCAAATTTTGTCATCTAAGGGATTATAACTGGCTTAAACTGCAATATTACTGAATGCTTCTCGCAGACTCTTTGAATCGATCATAACACTGTGCTTGCCACTTACGACTCCTCCCAGCAGTAATTAAATTTTGTGGCTGATCGGAGAATGGTAGGCTTAGTCAACTATTTTAGCGCATTTTTTTGGGAAATAAGGAACGGATAAATATGAGACAGGTACAAAGTATCTATAGGTCACAGACGAGAACCGCTCTCAGGTCAAGTCGAAACAACAAATTTTAAATATTGGTATAACAACGGTTAATGTATCTTGAGAATTTTGTTTTACGGTAGACATCCGAGCGGTTCAGTCCTGCTACCGTTAGATAGATGGATTTCACGTAATTTAAATCGTAATTTGGGCCGACAGACAGGTAATCACTGAGCGTCTTGTTGTACGAGCCGTCTTGCACCGATTAAACATGATATGAACTAAGGTGTTGCTTGTGTGCGCGTGTTTGCCGAGCGGATCGGTGTCGGTTTTCACTTGAGTACGATTATTGCGCCCAAGGCAAGCGACTCGAGTGAACGAACGACTGTGTGTGACAGAATGACGACTACGCGCCGTAGACTTGTCGTTTGCCGCCGCTTTCTAATGTCATGTGGTAGTCAGGTGCTGCGGGA